CATACATTTTATTTCGGATACTGTTAACACGTTCCATCATTCACTGCACATTAATAGTTTACAACTATCACATGCAAATAACTGACCATTTTCAAACTTTCTATTTAACTTTTCACAAGTTTCCATATTTCAAAAAATTCAGGTCGATTCAAATTTCGAGCTCTAGCCTCCTACGAGGTACTGGACGGGCAGAGACGACACGTGGATGGCCACGTGGTTCATTTGTCTGTTTGGCATGCGTTCACAAGCAATGGTTATTTATCTGTTTCAATTAAATACTTTGGTATTATTTTCCCTATAGATGATTGATATATACTAATACTGCTTGATAGTACACTCGAGAGTAAACTTTCACAGTTTATTACCACACTTTCTTTGCTCTAACTAGGAGCGCGTGAGAGACGTCTGTTCTCTTCGGCGGCTTGCTGAAAAGTCCTCCCAATAGTTGACAATTTCAGAAACTTAAGCTTCTATATGGACTATCAACTACGATTCACGGCACATATCGATCACCTCAATGAAAAATCAGCGAACTGAAATTGTTTTATCAGAATTATTGATCTTGTCCGAGCTCACCTTTGGCGATAGATTCATGGTCATTGTAAGAGATGACTCACGATTACAAAAATACGGTTCATGAAGATATTCCCCGGTATCGGTTAAACTCAAGAAACTCGGCTGGCTGAATATGAAAATTGAATATTTCTTCATGGTGCATGTACCTTTCACAAATTTTTTATTGACAAGACACCTGAATATCTTTATAACAAAATATAATTTCGGTAGCAAATTCACTCTGTATACATTCGACAGAAAAGTCGAATCCATATCCCATGACACAATTCAAACTTATTTAAACGTCCATTCTCTTATAATATAGGTAGTATACTTGAAAGCATTGCCCTACGACATCATAAATTCGTCTTCTCATTATAAGTTCAAAAATAACTTATAATGAGGACTTAACAAAAGATCAAATCTGAGGTACCGTTAGTTAACATAGTATCTCTCAACTCTTTCAATTGGTTTTACAATCTGATTCATGTAGTTTCAATTTATTAAAGTTAATTGAACACGTTTACTAATCAAATTCCCTTGAAGCAAACAAACAAATATATTGACAGTTAGTTACTCGTGTGTTAGGTCTTCTAAATGAATGTAACCCAAGAGAATCTGGAAGGTTAAATTAGTGTAATTAGGAACCTCACTGGATACATGGTATCCAAGTATTTAATAATAGTACGGTTGAAGGTTGAGTGACAGAGCAGGACCTCACTTAGTCATACATAATGGGCTGCTGAACTTCGCCTTTAAGGTCAGCAGTTATGTGTAAATATCTCCGTAGACATTGCACTATTGATGTAGAATTTATATGATATGCTCTAGGTAATCATGATTTGAGAATGTACCTTAGGTACATAAAAAATGAGTTGAGTTGCTCTAGGTAATCATGAGTAGGTCTCATGATTATGAGTTTCACTGATAATTTTTTTCAAAAAGTCTCAGAAAATTTAATTTGATGTGTCACTAGACAACTCCATAGTTCAACAATTTTCCTAAAGTTATCTTTATGACGAGGAAAAGTCGGCATCTTTCTCTGAAGTTTTTTACTATCAAGAATCATCAAGCCGAATTCTGGTTAATGAAAGGATTCATAACCTGACAAATACACTTTCAATTATGACAATATCAATAACTCAATAACTACTTTCATTTGTTTCCATAGCATTTCCATTTTATTGAATGATGAATTACTCCTTAACGATAAATAAAAAATATGGAATATTTCATCCAATATCCCAGATACCTATGAAATCAGTCGTGCTGTAAATAACCAGTTGATGAAGATGCGATATTTGCAATTTGATGTAATATTTTTCCATTCACATCTACAATGAACATTTCACAAGATATATGATGGACTTGGCATATACTTGATGAAAATCCATAACTTATGTATTAAAAAACACTTCATTGTGAGATTTGAGATTTTCACTGTTTAATGTTAAAATAAAAAATATAGAAAACTTCATCCAATATCCCAGATACCGATGAAATCACTCGTGCTGTAAATAACCAGTTGATGAAGATGCGATATTTGCAATTTAATGTAATATTTCTCTATTCACATTCACAATAAACATTTCTCAAGATATATGATGGACTTGGCCGATACTTGATGAAAATCTATAACTTACGTATTAAAAAACACTATTGTGAGATTTTCACTGTTTACTGTTTGATTTTTTGAAGAGAAACTGAAACATTTCTCAATCCCAAAACTGTCCTAAATTACAGGGTGTTCCATTCGAAAAAGTGAGTTTTGGCCCATCTCCAGAATTAGTCATCGATGTTGACAATCCTATATAACATTTTGGAAATGTTACTAGACGATAAAATGAAGCCTTTTGATGAACTGTTTTTCCGGGTTTCGCTCCGTATTATGTGTTTTGGATCCCCACAATGATCATTTCCACAACGTTTTGGGTGACCGAAAGACTTTTCTGGATCGCAACGTCCGTCGTGGAGTGAGTTGGTTTGAAATATATTTATTGATTTTTAAATTTTTTGCCTATTTTTATTTCATTTTTTTTATTATCATAGCATTCCAATTTTATTGAACGATGAATTACTCCTTAACTATTATTAGAAAATATAGAAAATTTCATCCAATATCCCAGATACCGATGAAATCATTCATGCTTCAAATAACCAGTTGATGAAGATGCGATATTTGCAATTCAATGTAATATTTTTCCATTCACATTTACAATAAATATTTCCCAAGATATATGATGGACTTGGCCGATACTTGATGAAAATTCATAATTCACGTATTAAAAAACACTTTATTGTGAGATTTTCACTGTTTAGTATTTGATATTTTGAAGAGAAACTGAAACATCTCTGAATCCGAAAACTATCCTAAATTACCGGGTGTTCCATTCGAAAAACTGAGTTTAGGCCCATCTTCAGAATTAGTCATCGATGTCGACAATCCTGTTTAATATTTTGGAAATGTAACAAGACGATGAAATGAACTATTTTGATGAACTGTTTTACTTTTACTTTTATTTTATTTTTTTATAGTTTCACTCTGTGGTCGTTTCACGTTTCTTTGTTTAATATAATTGATATTTTAGCTATTCATTTTGATTTCATTTGTTCTTTCATAGATTTTGAATCATAGTAGAACCATACTAGAAAATATTAATGTGATACTGATAAAATCCACCATGAAACATTTTCAACCACTTCTAAATAAACCAGAAAAACAGCTCATCATACTTTGTTCGTGAGAAAAATTGAGTCAACATTTTGAAGCTTCACGGAAAAGGGAGCAGAAACCCAGGTAAATGACACTACCCATATCTATAAATTAAAAAAGAGAGTTCCAAACTCTAGTCTAGTTCTGAACTCCAGACATCATCAGAGGATGGCAAACGAGGCTTTTCCGAAACGTTGTGTAAATAATAGTAGTGAGGATTGAAAACAGAGAACATGGATCGAAACCCGGATAAACAGCTCATCATCATTGTGGTTATTCGTATAAATGAACTATACATTACACAGTTACAATCGATTCCTCATGTGAGATGTTTGTAACCAAATCATCACAGAAGCATTCGGTATTGTGAAAAATTCATTTGTAAACATTCATAATTGTCGGGAAGTGAATGATAAACATTTATCGGGCGACACTTATATCAATTTTCAACTCCATATCAGTTATTGTAAGCTTAACCCTACCATGCATTATTCTATCAATAGAGGATATTTCCAGGTCTTCTTTACATGATAATGAAGATATCTAATATTTATAGTAATTGTTACTGTAACTTATATGACAAAATATACCATAATAGTTATGGTGCAATCTGAAATATACAAGTGACAAGTTATATGAAAAAATTATAATTGCTTACATAGATAACCTTAGTGGAATATCTTTAACCCTTAACTGATAACGTGCCGTCTGTGAGACTGCAGCCATTTTTATTTTCGAGGTATTTCTAAAATGGTCTGGCTTTTCTGCGAATCACGCCACCTAATCTATTAGCTATCAGTCCCCCACCTATCATTCAACTGGAAGTAAATTTAGGTAAACGACGGGACGTCTGAGAAATATTTAGTAGTTAGTTGAGCACTGTCTATGATACGGTACATTTCAGTTTACGTAAGCATTTCCCGCGAAATCCATCAAAACGGGTACGTTATGGGGATGAAGATTATGATGACACTCTTTTGTGTTGGTATAACGAGACAAATAGTGACTGCAGTGAAATAGACAATATTCTGGAAGATGAATTTGAAATTTCCGATCATGACAGTCACAGTGAGTTATCTCATGGTAGTGATAGTGATGAAAGTGCGGAGGAAGAAGAAACAAATCAAGAAACAACAGGGGGAAAGAAATATTTGTATGGAAAAATTCGCTACAGGTGCTGCACAACACAAGTTATACCCACAACTCGTACGAGAAAAGACAACATTGTAATGAAAGAAAAGCTCAAGAGCTCGGAGATAAAGTAGATTCACACTCTGTCTGGAAATTACTATTTACTGATAACATGTTATTACATATTATACATTGGACCAATCATAAAATAATTTCAATGCCCACAAAGTACAAGGTGGATTCGAGTAACTTGAGAGATATTGATGTGATTGAGATGAGAGCTTTCTTTGGTCTTTTGATATATACCTCTGTATTCAACTCAAGACATGAAAATATCAAGACTCTTTTTGCAACAGATGGAAGTGGTAGAGATATTCAGGGCAGTAATGTGAAAAACGATTCGCTATAATTTTGTCTGCTCTGAGGTTTGACAATCCAGAGGATAGGGATGAAAGGATGAAACAGGACCCGTTAGCAGCCATTTCCTTCATATTCAACTCATTTATAAATAATAGCCAAAGGGTCTACGGAATGGGTCAGTCAGCAACCGTTGACGAAATGCTCGTAAGCTTTCGAGGCAAAGTTAGTTACAAGATGTAAGATGCCAATGAAGCCTTGCAAGTATGGCATCAAAATAATGGCTCTAACGGATGCATACATATATGTCAAAAAATATTCTAATGGTATTGAACTTGATCCCGAATTCAAGAAATTCTCAAAGCCAACGCAAGCGGTCTTACGCCTTGCACGGCCTTTGTTTGGGACCAACCGCAACATTACGGCAGACAACTGGTTCTCCTCAGTGGAATTGGTAGATATCTTGCTGGAGAAAAATCTCACTTACGTTGGAACGGTAAAAAAAAACAAAAGAGAAATACTACCTTCTTTTTTACCCAACAAAAGAAGGGATGTCGGATCAACATTATATGTGGGAAAGAAGAACAAAGCAACTGTACATATCTCCACGATGCATGATCGGATTTTCACTGATCCAGAGACGAACAAACCTGAAATAATCGTTTATTACAATGCCAATGAAGGAGGAGTTGATTCTCTCGACGAGGAATGTGCAAAAAGTACTTCAAGTCGTCGTACACGCAGGTGGCCCTTGGCAATTTTTTTTCGTATCCTTGATGTTTCGGTAGTAAATTCCTATATATTACACCAATGTTATAAAAATAATGAGGTGATGAAAGAAAAATCAGAATTTGCTAAAGAATTGGCTGCAAAACTTGTAAGAGGAAACATGGAAAGGAAATTACAGAATCCCCGTATGCCCCGCGAATTACGCTTTACTATATCACGTATCCTTGGCAGACCGGAAGAAAATGTACCTGTGAGACAAGTAGATTTGACGCTACAAAAGCGAAAGACATGCCATTTGTGCCACAAGACGACGCATCGAAAGACGAAATATCTGTGTGTGGAGTGTGTGAAGCCAGTATGCCTGGAGTGTTCCAAGCCGAAATGCAACAATTCTTCAAACAAATCCTAAATTCATGACTTGTTAGGACCTTCCAATAAACACCATTAGTTAGTTTTTCTTTATAGATACTGCGTTTTGTTCATCATCAATCATACTATGCATGAAATTAATTTCTTTTGAATGATTTTAAATTTTTTTGTGGATCTTTCCAAAATCACTACCAATTTCCGTTATAGTTGAAAAAGAATATTGCGAAATTAATTTTGATCAAGTTTTTGTTCGTTATTTTATGCAAAAATATTTCAAAAGAAGGTGTACCTAAGTGTTCGTAATATATATTTTGAAAAAAATATAACTGGAGATTTTTCTTTGCTTTCAAAAAGTGCCAGTCTCACAAACTGCACGTTACCAGTTCTGTTTCAAAATTTCACGATACCAATTAAGGGTAGATCTACCAGTGGGAAGTTCTGAAGAAGCAAAGAGTATGTTCAAAAAGAATATATTGAATGTCAAGTAATTATTATTCAGCACTCATTCAAGATGGGCGAGTTTTGAATAAAGATATCCACTGAGGAGATATCGATGAAAACATTTCCAAGGTTGTCTGGAAAGAAGTCACTTTTGATTCATTCGATATTCAACTTGAGGTCAACTAAATTACAATAAATTGATGCTCAAATAGTGTTAAGATTGCTGAAGTTTAGGACAATGGATTGTTCACGTTCAGGAATATTTGCATTTCGTATTTGAGATCCGAGATATTTCGCTAGGCGGTAGATTTCCTGTAATAAAAAAATCTGTTTAAAATCTGTTTTCCGTCAATCAGCTGTCGCCCCCATATGAACGACAACTCTCGGAAGTTGAGAAACTTGTGGGAGCTAAGGACTAATGAGGTCTCACCTTTTAACGTGTGATTCCTAACATAGTTTGAATAAATACATTCAAATGAGGACATATGAAAATAATGTATAACTGATCGTGCAAGTTTCTCCCTATTCGGTTATATATACCATGATTAAATGAATATAATTCCAAATGATCCCATTCAAACTTTTTCTTTAGATAGAACTGTGGAAGCTAAGATCTTGAATATCAAAAATTATTGCATGAATTGAGAAAAACAAAGATCTCTTTACGGGATTAGGATGTTTGAAAAGTAATGATAAAATTCAATTGAAAGAGAACGTTACTCCAGTTGTTCATGCAACACGAAAAATTTCAATACCTTTATATAAGCAATTTAAACAAACTTTAGCCGAACTCGAGAAGGCAAAAATAATAAAAAAGGTAGAGGAACCTACTGACTAGGTGAACTCTATTGTAATTATCAGAAAAAACGATAGTACATTGAGAATTTGCTTAGATCCTCGTGATTTGAATTTGGCTATGAAACGTGAACATTTTCAGTCACATTTTTAATACTTCAGCAAATTAGATACCAATAGTGGATTCTGGCAGATTAGTTTGGATAAAGACAGTGCAAAGTTGTGAACTTTCGGTACGCCTTTTGGACGTTATTGCCTTCTGAGAATGCCATACGGAATTCGATCTGCTCCTGAAGTGTTTCACAAACGGTTCAAAAATATTTTTGATATGGAAGGTGTTGAAATCTATTGTAGTCATTGTAGTCGGGGAAAAAATAAAACGGAGCATGATGAACGTTTGAGGAAAGTATTTGAAAAAGCTAGGTCAAATAAAATAATATTCATTAAAAACAAGATTTGCTCTTACGGAAATAACTTTTATGGGGCATATAATAACGAAAGATGGTTACTACCCATGTCCGGATGAAATTGAAGCTATTAGAAGTGCAAAGATTCCTAGGAATGGTCACTTATGTTGGTCGATTCATATCAAATTTATCGAAATCAAATTCTCCTTTAAGAGATCTTATTAAAAAAGATGTCGTTTTTCAGTGTACAGAAAGGCATACAAAATCGTTTGAAAAATTGAAAACAAAAATGGCTGAAAAATCTGTAATACAATACTATGATGTAAGTAAACCGGTGGTTCTTTCCGTAGATGCATCAAAGGAAGGTCTAGGAGCCACCTTATTACAAAACAATCTACCTTGTGCATACCCATCTCAAGCCTTATCTGAAACTCAAATTGAAAAAGAGTTGGCAGCAGTTTTGTATGGTTGTGAAAAATATCACGAATATTTTTTATATGGGCGTAGCTTTGTTGTGGAAAGCGATCACCATTCTTTACTTGGTATTTTCAAAAAACCATTATGTGCCTTTCCTGCTCGNATTGTACACCATGTAAACATAATAAATCGAAGCAGCCTTGGCGTAAGCAAAAACTAAAAGTTCAGCGTTTTTTATGTAATTGACTTGAGAACTGAAATAAAGATAGTCTATTAGAAATCGTCGTTTCATTTCACATTGTACGTAGGTTCATTTCATGTTCCAAATATGCAATAAATAATGATTTTCGAATATTCCATGTAAGACGACAGCCGCGTAGGAAAAAGATGCGTTTTGTAAAATTATCTTCACTATATCTTTTATCTTATGTGATTTGAATGCATGTTTTCGAAGATATAACAGATTTGAAATGCTGACACATAGCGGTGGCGGCGGTACTGAGAAAAAAACTGTGAACACTGTTCAAATATGTTTAAAATGCGTTTTTTCCGTTAACCAGCTATCGCACCCCTACGAACGACAACCCTCAAAAGTCTAAACTTGTGCGAGCTAAGGAATAACGAGGTCTTACCTTCAACGTGTGATTCCTGACACGGGTTGGACGATAGCAAGTGAAAATCGAGCGTTCAGCCTGCGGCTTGAACCATCGACTCACACATCGGCCGATTGACTGAGTGAACAAAGCATCCACGTCGAACCGCCCCGCTACCAACCGACATTCTGCAGTATATTCAGTATCAGCATTGCACCCGTGCGGAGCCGTTGCGAGTCACTAGTAATAATTATAGACTTTTCACAATAAACTTCATCCAAGACATGTTTTGCTAAACGGTACCTTCATCTATTACTGATGACGTTACCAGTAACTCCAATTACTGTCCTGTGCAATCATGTAATGTCTCAAAGAAAATACATATTATTGATAACTGGTCCGTTTGAATTGAAATATTAAATACTGTATTCAAAATTCAAATCATTGACAATGAGCAACATTGTCATATTGCTATTATGTTCTAGGTCATTTTCATGCAAGTTGTTATTTAATACGTTACAAACTTTTACAATATGTTTGCGATCCCACTGAAGGTTGAACTTATTGTGTAATACAATAGCTACTTTTCATCTAATTCATAGTTCCATGAGAACTTCAGTAAGTCATTCTATTGGATGGGTGGAAAGGAAACCAAACTGATCCAAATAAGTTTTTAATGGAATATTTATATCAGAACGCCCAAGTTTCAGTATATATTACCTGTCAATTACCAAATATGCTTGTTTATAAGTAATCAGTGAATGTTAGAATAACATAGATGGGTGGCTACTAGTTGATGTCGACAGGAGAGTTGTTGATGAGTATCTGACTGACAGACGCATCGCAATAATACATGCATAGGGAAGTTCGAAGATAATCAGTATTCACCAATATATAAATCAAGCCAATAGTATTGAATTATCGTTATTATGTAATCTGGAACTGACAGAACTCCAGATGTCTATATCAATTATTCTCACAACCATTTTCTCAAATCGTTTTTCCATCGCATCAATTGAAACTCCACGCCAGTGTGTTCAATCAGTTCCCTATCTAAGAGCATCATCCAATCTTGTACTGCTATCGTAGGTCTGTCTGTGAACAATATGAAAACATAGCAAGAGAGCGTGGAAGTTGCGAAAAGCATCATGAATAAATCAAAATCACTGTGATGAGGTTGGAGGAATGCACGCGACGAAGTAATGGGAAGTCATTCATCAGCCTCTATTCTAAATTAATCAAGTAACTGTGTGTTCCGAGATAAGAGGGTGATTTTCGGTTCGAGGTCGGGAGACTGGAGTTGTTGTTGGGCGTGGGATGCGATCAATGAGATACACCAGGTGTGACTATTTGATTTTAGAAAACTGTAATGTTTTCTGCTGAATAATGAGAAATGTAAGATCACTTTTTTTCTTTTTTGAGGACTTTATTTTGATTTAATTATTTGATTGTCTTATTTTGCGTATGAGTAATTGAACTCCCCATGTTTTTATACCACTTGTATTTGTAATACACATTACTGCAGTTTCGCCCTACGTTACATATACAAGTGGTATAAAAACGAAGGAAGTTTTATGTCTCGTATTTCACGATGATCTCCTCCCACGTAGTAATTCAAATTATTGAAAAACCCCTGTGAATTTTCTAGACTATTGGACGAAATAGAAAATTCCTTGTTCAACGATATTACGCAAGTGGCCATTCACTTCCAAAATGGCAGCAATGGAGCTATTTTCAACTGATTAATATGGCCCTTCTATGACACCATCAATGGAAATATTGTCAGCTTTTCATAACAAGAAAAAAAAACAAAAGAATTTTTTTTCGTGTAATTCAATGTTTATATGAAAGTAGCTGTTTCAGGAGGACTTTCTTTCAGTTTGTGTCTGAAAGTTACTTCTTTGCATGATCTACACATTCATGTATAGAGTTTCAAATTGATTACTTCCTTCCTTTCTTCGGAAGATTCTCTCATCCCTTTTTATTGTATCAGATGGAGTAGGTAGTAGAAAGCCAAAAACTTTTTTTCCAAAAAAAATTAATCACTCCTAAAAATATAACCCCTTCAATTCAAAGAAAAATATATCCTGATTAGGTGAGAAAAGGTCTATTTAGAGTCGAAAACTGGGACTCTGTCTCATGTATTACACAGACACACATGTGTTTTTGACCTTTTCTTATGTAGTACACAAAAAACTTTCGAAGTTGAATTTTAAAAAATAGCTCTTTCTGTTTAGATTCTGAAGATGAATTTAATGAAAAATGACATTGAATAACTGACAAAATTCAATTCTTCAATTTTAATTTGAAAACTGAGTGAACTTGGTGTTTTTTCACTGTATCAAATTGTTTGTTTGAATATGGAGACCATGGATCTTATGCCATCA